AGTTACATACTGCTCCTTTAACGTCAGAGGAAAATGGCCGCCATGTGAAATGAGAGACAAAGATAGAGAAGGAGGACAACACACACACACGGAGCACTCGGGGTGGACGCATGTGATCATCGTCAGGGGAGGAAAAAGGGAGGTAGAAAGTGGTTACCACAGTGGGTCATTGGCTGCTTGAAATAGTCGCCCCAATGCCTCTACTTCCTCTGCCTGCCCCGCCCCCCCCCCCACCCCCACCCCACCCACCCCTCCCTCTACCTCCTCTACCTCTGCACAGGTAATATATTTAGCCCCAAATTTTCAGAGCCCTACAGCGCAGGGATAAAGTGGGACGAGTCTGTCTCACTGAGTTAATAAGGCGTGTGTGATGACTGTGTGAGTCAAAGCTTCAGCACCAGCTCCAGTGTTAGAGTGTGTGTGTGTGTGTGTGTGTGTGTGTGTGTTGTGTGTGTGTGTGTGTATGTGTTGTGGTGTGTGTTGTGTGTGTGTGTGTGTGTGTGTGTGCGAGTGAGTGATCATAAAGGGAGAAAGACGGAGAACGACACCTTTTTCTCCTCCTGTGAAGTGGACCTTTACAGAACGGGAAATATGCATCCACTCTGCACATTACCTGCAGTTTGCAAAGTGTTTCTGTGCCGTTTCATAACTTTTTCAATCATGTTTGTTCTGTCAGTATGTGAGTGCATGTTCACAGTGTGTGTGTGTGTGAGTGTGTGTGTGTGTGTGTGTGTGTGTGTGTGTGTGTGTGTGTGTTGTGTGTGTGTGTGTGTTTAGTGTTTAAATGTGCAAAATGTCTCCCGGCGAGGAGAGAGAGAGCGAGTCCATCCAGCAGTGTACTCACTTCCTCTCTCTCGCTGTGTTCGCTCTCTCCATCTCCCTCCTACGACTTGTTCTCTCCGTGTTATGAAAGTGACCCATGTGGGTGTTATTGAGAATGAGTGAGCAAGGATCTGCGTTTCTATGTGTGTGTGTGTTGTGTGTGTGTGTGTGTGTATGCGTCTCGGCTTGTTTGTGTGTCTTTATGTGACTGCCAGCGAGGCCAAACTCATGTAATCAAGTGGATTGCCTCTAATATTTCAGATCATGGCGGTGAGGGGCCGAGCGAGTCAATGCAGCCCATGAAATGTGACACTGACGAGCAGAATCGAGTTAGGACCGACTGCAGGCCGACTTAAAGTGCTCCCATTTCTTCCCCCCTTTCGATCTATTGTCTTGGAGAGCCGTGGCAAATTGTGTAAAGGCCCTGAGTGATGTGGATGAGTGTTCAGGAGTGTTTCCAGGCACGTCCTCATAAAGCGTGTGTGTGTAGCGAGCAGCAGTCCAGATTCCTGTCCATTAACAACGTGAGATATAAAGACGATTTGGCCGAGTTTCAGACGGACAAGGACACTGTTTGGGTTTGTCGGATACGGCAGATTTACGATGAGGGAGAAGTGTCTTCGATGTTCACACATGGAAACAGTCTGGATTTGTTCCAGGTCAAAGGTCATTAAACTGCTCTGAATCAGTCACAAATTATTCCCTCGTTGCCTGATTGATCAGCAGAGACGACACATTTAAGGTAATACCTTAAAGCTAAGATTAGCAAGGAAGACTCTAAAGAGACATCAGATTAGATTTTACCTTAAAGGTTCATTCAGTGAGATGTGTAGAGACTGAATGATAAAGTGAGCTTACTATATGATCAGACATTAAGGAAACATAGAAGGAGGACTGCTGCATTGTAGTCAGACATAGCATGTTTCCTTAATGTCTGATCATATAGTAAGCTCACTTTATCATTTCAGGCAGTGTCTGGATGAAGGTCGTTTTGTTTCTGTGTGTTTGAGTTCACGCATGTTTTCACTTATTACTGTGATCTTTCATGCATAACTGTCCCTCGTCTGCGCCCGTCTGTGTTAGGGACAAGAGCTGAGATGAACCCCCCCCTCCCTCCCTCCCCCCTAATGATCGTCCATCTGTGGAGGTGAGAAGGAGACGGCACATTATGGCGCTTTTAGTCGGGCTGCTGTAGTTTATAGTTTATTACAGGTGAGCGTCTCACAGCTCACTGAGTGGCTTTATGTAACGGGTAAGAGGGGTCACTTTTAATCAACATTTAACAGTTAAAGTTCTGCAGGAAGACGACATCTCGCTGCTGACTCCTGAAGGTTGTTCAAACTTCAGCGAGGGATGAAGCGGGCGTTCAACCTTTGAACTTTGGGACGCCATCGATCCGTTTCCTTCATTAACAAATCACCGACATCAGAAAGCACAGCTCGCTCTCGTGGGTTGAAGTATGAGGAGTGACAACGACCTTACCTCGGGAACAAAGTCAATTAGGGGACGGTTTGACGCCCTACAGTGAATCGTTGCAGCTAACTGAATCTATGCACTCATGGGTGAAACGTTTAACCCAGCTGACACGAGGCCTGTGGGGCAGCAGGGCGAGCCGGAGAGGAAGGCTCATAATGTGAGGTATGAAATCAGAGTTCAGAGAAGTGAGCCTTCAGGTTGCTCCGATAGAAGCTGAATATAACACAACACATGCTGCGGGTCCATGAGGGTCCCCCCCTCAGATCACCTTTACCCTCAGAGTCAATCCCAACATCTTCACACCAGAACATCTGTGCAGCCTCCATCTATACATCCAGGAATCTGTGTGTGTGTGTGTGTTGCTGTGGACCAGAAGAAGTGCGGTGCTGATTCTGAAGTTTTCATGGGCTCATATTGTTGCTAAAACATTCTAAATAGTTTTGCTGTGGAGCAAAACGATGGAATCCACCGGAAACAACACACACTGTGCAGAATGAGACGCCCGAGGCAATGTTTAGATCGCTAAGTGGACGGGACACACTACCAGTTTACAGTTTTGTTAATCTAAATGGAGGCCATCTTTAGTACTGAATACCGTCCCCCCTTTCTGTAAACAACACACGCAGAAGAAGACTTGCCCAGGAGTCTGGGCTAAGCTACGCGTTAACTAACCGTCATTTACAAAAGCCGATGAAATTCGTCGTTTCAGAGCTCATTTAGGCGCCTTCACTGACCACAGAAGAACACGTTACAAACAAACAAACACATTCTGAATGGACACTGCTCGAGTAGAACAAACACTAGAACCAGAGTGTGCTTGGTGACAGAATATTTCCCTTCAAACATGAAGCATCCGGCGCTGTCTTTGTTCAGTTCAGCTGTTCAGATGAAAATGTTTTTTTCTTTGCAGATGATACCCTCATCTTTATATCAGATGTAAGAACACATATTTAAAGGTGATGAGAGTTTGGATGAAATATCTAGAAACATTTTCTGCCTAACTATCCCGACATCAGCTGAGAAGTATCACACACATTATTAACAGTATGAAGTTTTATGAGTGGATATGAAGCTCTGTGTTTGTTTGCAAGACGTTGATGAGATAATACAAAGTTTCTCTCACCTCTCCCACCATGCCGTTCCACGTCCCGTTGATCTTCTTGCCGTGTTTGCCGTTGGTGACCAGGTAAAGGTCGTAGGTGAACTTGACGGTCTTTGCGATCTTCTTCAGGATGTCGATGCAGAAACCTTTACAGCAGCGCTTTATGTAGATCCCCGAGTCCTTGGTCTGGTTGCTGCACGGACACACACACAGATGATGACTTCATTAGATGTGAAGCTCTGAGAGATCTGGCAGGAAAACGTTTACTGAAATCCTGATTTTGGTATCTGGCACCGTCACTCTCACGCAGATCAAGTGTGAAGGGATTCGACCTCCAGCGCTGCACAGCTGCCGCGCAAAATAAACATCACGCACGGAGAAAAAAAAAACTTGTGACAGCCGACAGGTTTCTCGTTTCATCTCTGCTCACTTCAGCTGAGCTAATGTGGTCAGACACAAAGACTCGTTCTATTCTAGTCCAATAAACAGGCACTCATGTTTCTCACACATCTGATTCATGGATTCTGATTGTATCTGATCCATGGACTCTGATTGGTTGTATCTGATCCATGGACTCTGATTGGTCGTATCTGATTCATGGACTCTGATTGGTCATATCTGATTCATGGACTCTGATTGGTTATATCTGATTCATGGACTCTGATTGGTCGTATCTGATTCATGGACTCTGATTGGTCATATCTGATTCATGGACTCTGATTGGTTATATCTGATCCATGGACTCTGATTGGTCGTATCTGATTCATGGACTCTGATTGGTCGTATATGATTCATGGACTCTGATTGGTCGCATCTTAATCATGGACTCTGATTGGTTGTATCTGATTCATGGACTCTGATTGGTTGACTCTGATTGGTCGTATCTGATCCATGGACTCTGATTGGTCATATCTGATCCATGGACTCTGATTGGTCGTATCTGATCCATGGACTCTGATTGGTTGTATATGATCCATGGACTCTGATTGGTTGTATATGATCCATGGACTCTGATTGGTTGACTCTGATTGGTCGTATCTGATTCATGGACTTTGATTGGTTGTATCTGATTCATGGACTCTTATTGGTTGACTCTGAATGGTCGTAAATGATTCATGGACTCTGATTGGTTGTATCTGATTCATGGACTCTGATTGGTTATATCTGATTCATGGACTCCGATTGTTTGTATCTAATTCATGGACTCTGATTGGTTGTATATGATCCATGGACTCTGATTGGTCGTATCTGATCCATGGACTCTGATTGGTTGTATCTGATTCATGGACTCTGATTGGTTATATCTGATTCATGGACTCCGATTGTTTGTATCTAATTCATGGACTCTGATTGGTTGTATATGATCCATGGACTCTGATTGGTTGACTCTGATTGGTCGTATCTGATTCATGGACTCTGATTGGTCATATCTGATCCATGGACTCTGATTGGTTGACTCTGATTGGTCATATCTGATTCATGGACTCTGATTGGTCATATCTGATTCATGGACTCTGATTGGTCGTATCTGATTCATGGACTCTGATTGGTCGTATCTGATTCATGGACTCTGATTGGTCGTATCTTATTCATAGACTCTGATTGGTCATATCTGATTCATGGACTCTGAATGGTCGTATCTAATTCATGGACTCTGATTGGTTGACTCTGATTGGTTGTATCTGATTCATGGACTCTGATTGGTTGACTCTGATTGGTCGTATCTGATTCATGGACTCTGATTGGTTGTATATGATCCATGGACTCTGATTGGTTGACTCTGATTGGTCGTATCTGATTCATGGACTCTGATTGGTTGTATATGATCCATGGACTCTGATTGGTTGACTCTGATTGGTCATATCTGATCCATGGACTCTGATTGGTTGTATCTGATTATGGACTCTGATTGGTTGACTCTGATTGGTCATATCTGATTCATGGACTCTGATTGGTCGTATATGATTCATGGACTCTGATTGGTCGTATATGATTTATGGATTCTGATTGCTTGTATCTGATTCATGGACTCTGATTGGTAGTATCTGAGCCATAGACTCTGATTGGTCATATATGATTTATGGATTCTGATTGGTCATATCTGATTCATGGACTCTGATTGGTTGTATCTGATTCATGGACTCTGATTGGTTGTATCTGATTTATGGATTCTGATTGCTTGTATCTGATCCATGGACTCTGATTGGTCATATCTGATTCATGGACTCTGATTGGTCGTATATGATTTATGGACTCTGATTGGTCATATCTGATTCATGGACTCTGATTGGTCGTATATGATTTATGGATTCTGATTGCTTGTATCTGATTCATGGACTCTGATTGGTTATATCTGATTCATGGACTCTGATTGGTTGTATCTGATTCATGGACTCTGATTGGTTGTATCTGATTTATGGATTCTGATTGCTTGTATCTGATTCATGGACTCTGATTGATCGTATATGATTTATGGATTCTGATTGGTTGTATCTGATCCATGGACTCTGATTGATCCATGGACTCTGATTGGTTGTATCTGAGCCATGGACTCTGATTGGTTGTATCTGATTCATGGACTCTGATTGGTTGTATATGATTTATGGATTCTGATTGCTTGTATCTGATTCATGGACTCTGATTGGTCGTATATGGTTTATGGACTCTGATTGGTTGTATCTGATCCATGGACTCTGATTGATTCATGGACTCTGATTGGTTGTATCTGATTGGTTCTCACAGTGTTTTGATCTGTTTCCTGCAGGGCACCGTGTTCCTCATGCACGTCCCGCTCAGAGGGTCCACGTCCTCCACGATGACGAACGGCGCCTCCTCCAAGGTCACGATGGACAGGTGGTCGTCCTCCCGGGTCGCCGCCCCTCCATACAGCTCGTAGCGAGGCCACACGTGGTACTTCATGGAGAGGGAGCCGTTCTCCCATTTACCCACCTGGAGAAACCACACGGAGACAAAGGGTGACACATCTTAAAGAGTCCTTTGGACAAGAATCTCTTCAACCCCCTGAAAAACAAAATAATAAAATAACTGAAGCTCTGAATTTACAAACTCAGAGGAGAGGAGAGGAGAGGACATGAAAGGAGAGGAGATTAGAGGAGAGGAGAGGAGACGACATAAGAGGAGAGGAAAGGAGAGGAGAAGAGAGGAGACGACATGAGGCGAGAGGAGAGGAGAGTAGAGGAGACAACATGAGAGGAGAGGAGAGGAGAGGAGACGACATGAGAGGAGAGGAGAGGAGAGGAGGGGAGAGGGAACTGGAGTAAAAAATGAGAGCAAGGTTAACTGAAAGGACAAAACTGGAACGGGGAACGAGCAGAATTTAAATGGAGAGGACTTCCTGTTGACTTAGTGGAAAGAGGCGTTCGTATGTAACAGAGAAAGATCTTAAAATAGTGAGATGTGCAGCAGCAGGTGGACAAACAACAGAACAAACATTATAGAGACTCAAAAAGTGATTATGAGACAAAGAGGAGAAAGAAGAAGACGGAGCACAGAGTGGAGTGAGAGAGCTGGAGGTGGCGCTCGTTCAGAAGCTAAATGCTGGCTCTTCTGCAGAGGAGAGTGCAGCTGAACGTCTGGAGGACCCTCCAATGAAGAAGTGTCATCAATTAGTCCGTTTCCTCTCCACCTGTGAGAGCGTACCTGGAGACTGCGCCCCCTCTCCTCGTGTAAGAGCGGCGCTGACACCGAGGGGCAGATGGATATGGATCATCAGCTAATTGGACACGCAGTTATGGAAGAGAGGGCAGGACAGGGAGCTGAGGCGCGAGTGTGTGAAGTCAGGTTTGCAAGCTTGTAAAATATGCAAATGTGTACACACACACACACACGCACACACACGCACACACACACACGCACACAAACACACACACAAACACACACTTAGAGCACTCCAGGGAACACAAACTTGCCAAGAATGCCTGGAGTGGACAAGCTACGACTGTGTATCTATCTCTGCAGCCTCCAAAAAAAAGAAAGAAAAAAAGAGAGCAAGCTGCAGAAAGTGATAGAAATGAGCTGGAAAGAAAGACAGAAAAGGGGGGGAGGAAGGAGGGGAGAAAGGGGGTTAACATCCCCCCTAAGGGGTCTAAACTGGACTGGACACTACAGAGTCTTTACAAGAACTTCAAAGGTGCAAAGAGAGGACGGTTGTAGAGGCTAGAACTCATTAGGATCCAAGAAAAGTGGTTCAGCTGGAAGTCAAGCTTAGAATTAAACATGAGTGAGGGAGCGGGAGGAGGAGGGCGGGGGGGGGGGGGGGGGAGAGAGATTCACCTTGTAGTGTGATCAGAGGACAGAATATAGATTAGAGAGGCAGGAGAACGAGAGAAACACGGAGAATAAAGGAGAGTCAGGACGCAGACACAAAGGACGGGGAGAGTCAGCAAACACAGGTGCATGATGGGAACTCTGCAGGTGAAGGGGAGCATCAAGTTCAGGTGAGGCTGTGACACCTTTTCTCTGCTCACACACTCAGAGAAGTTGTGTCCACAGAACAGAGCTCTTGTTTTTCAGATTTACTCTTCTTACACCGAGCATCATGCATGAGCTGATACAAAGTGTGACGCAACAAATAAAAAAATATTCAAGCAAATATACTGCTTGTTGATATTTTGCCAGCTTTGACAAACATTACAGGAGGATACTGAGAGATATTAATCGTCACATTGCCACAACTTTTATCATTAAAGTTGTTTTCACACATGCACTGAAGATATGGAGATCATTTCAGGAGTTTTCTGCAGGTGTGAAGGCTTTCTTGTGTGGAAAAAGCACAAGAACAGTTTCAGTTCGATCTACTCTCTGTCACCAAGGAGCATGCTGGGAAGTTTCTCCCCACTTCTCCTTCTCAGTAACCCCGCCCCAGCCCTCTTCTTTCCACAACACGTTTTCTACATTCAGGGTTCAGAGACTTTAAGAGAGATGTGTTCTTACACCGAGTGAAACATAAACACAAGCCATGATTTTTTAATGACCTGCTTGGTGTGAGTCCTCACATGAACTCTTCTCGAGGGATTCTTTTACAAACAGAGGAAGCTGATAGGGAGGCAAACAGACTCTGACTGTACCAGAGCCCACCTCATGATATCATAAATTAGTTATAAACTTCATGTTACATTCGACACTACAAGCAGATTTCATTTTGAGTAATTTATCATCACAAATATTTCAAGTATTTCCTTGTTTCTCCTTTTTCTTTTAGTCTTGCGTTCTTGACTGAAGCCCCTTTTCCACCGCAGGAACTTTCCCCCGGAACCAGGAACCATTAAAGGAACCATGTGCTTTCCACAGGAACCAGGGTCTAAACTTAGTTCTGGGGTAATTGAGCCCCTGAGCAGGGTTTTACTTTCCAAAGGTTCAGGGACCTTGTGGGGCAGGGCCTGCCCTGTGCTAAACGTCTCTGATTGGTCAGACATTTTCAGATTTTCCCTTCATGACATCACAAAGGGCAGTAGCCCCTCCCCCAGGTGGGTGACACTCCCACAGCTAGGTGTTTGTTCTGCCCTCTGAGTCTGCCTTCTCACCGTAAACAATAGGACATGGAGCGAGAAAGACAGAGACACCCAAGCCCTTCCAGAGAGGGGGCGTGGTCAGACACAGCTCATTTACATATTTAAAGGTACAGACACAGAAACAGCCTGTTCTGAGCAGGGCTGAAATAGAGGGGTTTATAGACATGATCAAATACAGGATCAGAGTGGATTTAGAACAAGAAACTTCACACACATGTTTTGAGGAGCTCTGAGACTTATTTAAACTGAAGAAGAGGAGGAGGATATGTCACCTTTAAGGTTTAATCAGCAACAGAAATAGAACTCTCTCTCACCCGGTCCCACTGCCTGTCTTTGTTGAGCAGGATGATGACCAGCTTTGGATGCATCTGGTATCCGTCCTCGCTGAACGACAGGTTACGGCCCTCGAACGTCACATTCATCAGGTACCTGCAGGAGAAAACATCAAGGGAAGAGAGTCAGTGAAGCATACATCACCTGCTGAAAAGTATCATTCTCATATTTATAAAGGGTCAGGGTTCACTGAAGCTTCAGTGTTTATCCAGCTCTGCATGGGTCTGTAAACCTTTCTGTGTTCTAACCTCTCTCCATTTTTCAAAAGCATCTCCAATATTGATCCTAGTTTGAGCACGTTTCTGCTCGTGGAGCTTATTAGAAACATGCAGAGGCTTTTTAGGTCGGGTACAATCACTTCTATCTGACAGAAGCAGAATCAGAACATGTTTTCAGTTTGTTGATGTTTTTATTTGATGACTACCTCTAAAACATGAAAGTATCTTTTTCTGTCGTTTATCTCTCATCCCCCCCCCCGCCCCCCCACCGCGACACAGATTCATAATCTGCAGAGTTTCAGATGACATCTAACCAGGTTCTTTATAACTAGGTCCATTAGTCATCAGCTGCAGACAGACATTTACCAACACAGCAGTGATTATGTGAAGATGTCTGAGAAAGATTAATTACATCTAATTATGTCTGTTCATGCTTCTTTACTTTACCTGCATGAATAAACAGGAAGTGAGGTTCAGGTGGGAGTGCAAAGATGATGTCATACCTCTGATTAGTTACTGTCATCACCGGCACACACTTTTGAAAACGCTAAATGTTATCGATAGTTAGGCATTTAGCTGACATGATTGACAGGTGGGCGCACATTTCCAGCATGGAGACCGCCATCGATGGGACTCCAGCGCGCCCCGCAGGAACAGACGGGGGACGCCATCGATGGGACTCCAGCGCGCCCCGCAGGAACAGACGGGGGACGTACAGTGTGTG